TCTCTGAGGGGAGTGGTGCGGGTGGGGCACCACATAGAAAACGCGAAAAAAAAAAGCCTTGACTTTCGAGGGTCCGCGCGGATCTCTTGAATCGGCGCTGGGCGCCCCTCCCCGGCGCGCGGAGCGCGCCAGGGGCGTCGCAGGAGGCGCCGCCCCAGGAAATCTGCGCGGACCTTCGACAATCGATGTATGTGCGTATTTTGACTTCTTCGATGATGGAAGCCGTGCAAGTGGGGCACGCTGGCGAGACAGAGCGAGGCAACATCCTCCTCGTTCTCCTTCCCCTCCTCCCAAGGCCCCGCGGGCACGGGGGTGCATACTGGTTGCAAGACTCCCACCTGGGCCCCGACCACCGGCTGCCAACCAGTGGCCTGGACCCGAACGAGACGCTCTCGAGGAGAGGCGGCGCGCAGCACTCGCAATGGCGCCACGGCGCGCGGCGACGCCGAGCCCCCCACCGCTCTTCCGAGACCCGAGCGCTGTGTGCCCTGTGAGGCAGGCTGACTGGGATCAGAAGCACGTCCTGACGCACACAAGGGCTCGACTGAGGGATCCGCGGGCCTGGGAGGTAAGACCGGTCGGACGATGCTCGGCGGCGAGCCGAGAGGAACGTGAGAGCGGGCAGGCCTTCTCGGAAGGCGGGTGAGCTTCTCAGAAGCCCCCCCGCCTTCTGAAAAGCTTTCTCTGTCGTCGGAGAAGGCTCGGAAAACTGCTCGGAAGGCCGGATGCCTCCCGAGCCTTCTGAAAAGGCCCGCCCCCTCTGCATTCCCCTATGGGCCTATGGGCTCGCCGCCGAGGTGCAGGGCAGCAGCCCCCCTGACTCAGCGGAGCAAGAGGTCATGGGAATGGTACTTTCCTAGACTTCCAATGCTTCCCAAATTCCCAACTTTTCTAAACGGGCTGCAACAACGAGGGCCGCTAGATACTCGTGGGAATCCTGGAGCGTATCCTGAGCCGGCTCTGTCATGACATCATGCTCGTCCGACAAACTTCACCTGCGGCTGCACATCCCGCCAGCCGAGCCCGGACGCGCCTGCCGCTTGCGGCGGCTCGTCGTGGAAGCTTTCGAGCCTGCGCGGCACCGCATGCGGGCGACGGAGAAGAGCAGACGATCGATTGATTGGTGGATACATTCAGGATCACCAAAAACCTTAAACATAGAAGTTAGACCTCCATTCTGGAACTTATGTTCCTCCATTTTGGCAATGATTTCATCCAAACCGGAGACCCGACCTCCAAAAAGGAGATGTTTGATCCTCTGGGTAGCGACCGCCGAAAAAGTGCTGGACAGTCATCATTCCGCCCCGACCGCAACCCACGTGGACAAGCAGACTTGCGATCAACGTGGAGCCACAGCCTTGTCTCACGGGGTACTGACTGTCATCTCCTCATCCTGCGGCGCAGAACCAGAACCAGGGTGGCAGTGCGGCAGAGGTCCTGGGAAGAAGTCGGAGGGCCTCGTCAACCAGCTTGGGGTGAGGCATGACCACCAGGAGCCCACAGGGACTGCGCGCTGGAGGCCTCGGTCTCCAGCAGAGCCCCTCACGTTCTAGCCCTGCATCCTCGACGGCGCTCTGACGGTCCTGGGGTCCGTGGAAGGCCCCTCGGGGGCCGAAGGCGGCGGACACCTTCCAGGACCCCTCTCCTCCGGGACCCGCTTCCTTCATTGTCATGATGGACGAGGGAGGGGCCCCAGAGGCTGCGAGGCCTCTCCCAGGACCGACCAACCTCCTTCCAGGGCCGTTTTCCTTCATGCCAAGGAGGTCTGGCCTCCCCTCTGGGAGCACTTACTGCCCCTTCGCCCTTGAGCAACATCACGAAACAGACTTCACAAGCCGAAGCCTCCGGAGGTCCACGCGGATGTCTGGACTCTGCGCCAGACTCCGCCCCCCTGCCGGCCTCCCAGAGACTCCGAGGCTTCTGGGTGCCCTTTGGAGGCCCCCAGGCCAAGCGCTCCCAGGCGCGCCAGATGCGGGGCGGCCCCCGAGCCCACGACCCACTGCCCTCAGATGTCTTAATTACGCGAACTGGGCTTTGTTTTCCGTTTGGGAGGTCGACCTGTTTTTTACGTACTGGGCACCATCCTGCTTTTCGTTCTCAAGCCCAGGATCGGCCCGTGGCCCACCTGCCCGCTTCCTTATTGCGTTTTTGGTGCGTTCAGATATCAGAGAGAGCGCGATCTACCGCCGCATTATGGTGGAAAATTAGACAAGTCCCCCCCCTCTCCCCCCCCCTTCCTCCGGAACCCAGGGTTCCCCCCCCTGTAAAAATTCCCCCCCCCTGCTGGACCCCCCCCTCCCGTTCCCCCCGCCCCCCCCAGAGAACCGAGAGGGGGTCACTACCGGTTCGACCCCCCCCCCCGGAAAAACCGCGGGGGGTCACTACCGGTTAACCCCTCCCCCCTAGAAAACCAAAGGAAGGTCACTACCGGTTCGAACCCTCCCCCTCCAAAAGGGGGCCTACCGGTTCGAACCCTCCCCCCCCTCGAAAACAGGGGGGGGTCACTACCGGTTCGAACCCCCCCCCCCCCTCGAAAACCGGGGGGGTCACTACCGGTTCGAACCCCTCCCCCCCCCTCACCGCCAGCAAACGACTCCCGGTCCCTACCACCTACCACCGTCCGCACCACATCCCCCACTGCTGTTCCCAGCTCCACTGTCCTCATCACCACTGTCCCCGCTGGTTCCACCACCGTCCCTATTGTCCCCACCAGTGCCCCCACCACTGTCGCACTGTCCCCACTGTCCCCACCACTGTTCCCACCACGGTTCCACTCTCCCCACTTTCTCCACGGCCCCAACCACTGCCCGACTGTCCCCACTATCCCCGCTGTCCCACTGACCTGTCCCACTTTTCCCACCACTGTCCCACTGTCCCCACCACTGTCCCCACTGTACCTCTGTCCCATTGTCCCACCGCCGTCCTCGCCACCGCCCTCACCACTGTCCCCACCACCACTGTACCCTCCACTGTCCCACTGTTTCCACCACATTCCCACTGTCCCCACACCACTGTCCCCACCACCACCGTCCCCACCACTGTCCCAGTCCCCACTGTTCCCACCATTGTCCCCGCTGTCCCTTCCAGTGTGTCAATGTCGCCACTCTCCCCACCATTGTCCCACCACGGTCCCACTGTCCCACTTTCCCCACCACTGTCCCACTGTCCCCACTGTACCCACTACTGTCCCACTGTCCCCACCTGTCCCACTGTGCTGTCCCAGCGTCCCCTCTGTCCCCATCACTGTCCCACTGTCCCCACTGTCCCCACCACTTTCCCCACTGTGTTACTGTCCCACCACTGTCCTCACCACCGCCTTCACCACTGTCCCCACCACTACCGTCCCCACCACTGCCCCACTGTCCCCACCACTGTCCCGCTGTCCCCTCACCACTGTCCCCACCACCACCGTCCCCACCACTGTCCGCACCCCCACCCGGTTGTTTTCGAGGTGGGGGGGTTCGAACCGGTAATGACCCCTCCCGGTTTTCGAGGGGGGGGGGGGGGGGGTTCGAACCAGTAGTGACCCCCCCCTTTTTCATGATGGACTGGGGGGGGGGAAGGGTTCGAACCGGTAGTGACCACCCCCGGTTTTCCGGAGGGGGGGGGGGGCGGTCGAACTGGTAGTGACCCCCCGCGGTTTTCCGCCAGTAGTGGTAGAACACGCTCTTTCAGATATCACCATGCCGCCTGCCTGACGCCCATTTTCTAGGGTGCCGTCTTTCACGCGTTTTGGTTCAGCCAAGAACACAGCATGGAAACCGAGGACAACAAAAACAAGACGTCCCCAACGCTGCGCGTTCAAGAACAACGAAGCCCCTCACCCCGAGGTCCGGCTCTTCATTCCGAGTCGTCTTTTGACGGCCCTGGGGCCCGAGGCTGCCATCCAGAGAGGCCCGACAAGGGCGAAGCATCGGCAGCCTTGATCCTTTGCTCGAACCGCTGGGTGTCCTGCGGCAGGAGCCAGTAGGTGTGCCGCCCAGTGCGCGCGAGGGCGAGGGGCAACGACAGGGGGGGGGGCCAGCTCAGGGTGGAGACCTCGTCCTGGGATCGGCGACATATCGTCGATAGATCGGCGATAGGCCCTCGATAGCGGATCCGCATGGTCCTGGGCGGGGCGGGCTATCGTGCCCTCATCGGCGATCAGCGGGCGACTGAGTCGCGACTGGGGGTCGATGCTTCCCCCCTGAGCGTATTCCCCCCCTTGACGTTGTCCCTGAGAGGGAGCTCCAGGAGGGGGCCGCACGTCGGCCACGAGAGGCTGGGGAGCCCCGCGCCGGATGAACGGCCCTCGCGCCCGACCGCCCCCCGCACGAGTGGCACGGGGCCGCCGAGCCAGCTCCTGGGCGCCACCTCCAAGTGTCGACGATGCAGGAGACCCCGAAGGGAATCGGCAGGGACCTGGGCAAATCAAGATGTATGGCCACTCGGCGTCTGGAGGCCGCTTCCAGGCCCTGGACCTGTCAAAACAAATCCTGGATTGAGAGCTGGTCCATGGGAAGGACTCGAGAGCCCCAGGAATTGAGGAAGTCAAGGCATAGGATGTCGTGGGACGTGTGCTAGCGCTACTGTGCGCTAGTCTGGAGAAGCCCTTCGGTATGGTGAGCGTGTCAACTTGAGGGCCGCTAAGGCTTCAGCGTCATCGGCAGAGGTTAACGAGGTGAGCCTGCATTGGACACCCCCGTTCCATGGACCATCGACAGGGAGCGCAACAGCAGTGATTGCCCAGGGCCAAGGCCGAGACACTCGAAATACAATGCAGCTTTTACTGGTCTGACTGATTACCCACTGGGTGACCGGCTCGCTGTAAACAGCCGCGTCTGGCTGCCGAGCAGCGTGGACGTGTGAGGCATTGGCCGTGAGCGACAGACGGTCTGCGTCAGCGGCTAGACCTTTCCTGCGGGCTGGGGACTTCGCCGGGGCAAAGGGAAGAGGCATGGGCCATATGCGGAGAACGGGAGCGAGGAATAGAGGGAGATGTGCGAGAAGCGAGGGGTGATTCACCCGAGCCTCACAGCGGAGCGCGCCCTCTCAAGCAGAGCGCGCTGCGACCCCTCCGCGCAATCCATCATGTCGTTCAGGTCAGCCCAAGTCCTACCGTCATCGCTGGAAGCCTTGATCTGCTCCCAGTTGATGTCCACCTGCAGCTGCATCCGCCGCGTGCCGCACAAGTACAAGCCGCGGTCCAGGCGGCACAGCATCGCACGCCAGCCGCTGTACCGGCCAGGCCGGTTGACCAGCGCGGCGATGGCGGCATCGAGGGGGTCTCCCGCGTGCGCGGGGTACCTCCAGCAGAAAACGACAAGCATGCATGAACAGAACTTTTCGGAGGTCCGCGCGGACTTCTTGGGTCGGCGCCGGCCCCCTCCCCACACCCTCCCCGTCGCGCGGAGCGCGCCGTAGGCGCAGCCAGGAGTGCGGGGAGGGGGGTCCAGCGCCGACCCAAGTCTGCGCGGACCTCCGAAAGCCTTTATGACTGTGCTGCGACCTCCGGACCGACCGAAACCCAATCAGATCTGTTCCTGAACCCCTCACGGGGCTCATCCTGGCCAGCCCCCCACCTCATGGATCGACCCCTGGTTGCAGCCGGGGGCCCGAAAAAAGATGCCGGAACCGAGGAAGAGCCTCGATCCCCTCTGCGGCATAAATGTAAACTCTTGGAGCTCCGCGTGGACTGCTTGGATCGGCACTGGACCCCCCTCCTCCCTGGCGCGCAGGGCGCGCCAGGGACGGCGCCAGTTTACGTTTATGCAGTTTTTGTTGCTCGATCCTCGAACCTCGATCTTCTGCCACTCTGGCGCCCCCAGACATACGATGTCTTGGTTTTTGTCGAGACACGGTCCCCAAAGTCCAGGCCCCGAGGCCTGGCGAGGACCCCCAGAGGCCGAAAAGTGCCCAAAACCTCCCGCCGAGGTGTCTTCACGGCGCGAGCATGTCGGGGTCTGGCACCTCCAGCCGGCGTGCTCCAGGTGCCCCCGCTCGTCCTTGGGCGTTGCTGGCTGAGGGCGGCGATGCAGGGGGGGGGGGGGGAACGTGCACCCTTCGCGCCCCTTTTGGGCCCAGAGGGCCCCTGCAGGGCCACTGAGGTGCACAAGAGGTGCACCATTTTCACCCCCCGATCGATCGCCTCCACCAATCACCGCGGCGGCGAGCCCTGGGGGAAAATGAAACGGGGCGGCCTCCTCGGAAGGCTCGGAAGGCCTCGGGCCTTCTCAGAAGTTCCCACCAGCCTTCTCTCAAGACGCAGAAAACTTTCCAGAAGACCGAAGGGCTTCTCAGAAGCCCCGCGGCCGTCTGAGAAGGCCTCCTGCTTCTCACTTCGCCCCCGGGCGCTGATTTTCACCCCCTCATCGATCGCCCCCACCATTGCGCAACGCCCGACGTCCAAGGGCGCCGCGCTCGTCGGGGACGGCGCCGCGCCCCCGGCCGCGCCGAGGCCGCTGCGGCCAGCGGCGGAACCGCTGGGGGGCCCGCTGGCCGCGGACGTGGAGAGCGCGCTGACGCCGCTGGGTTTCGGGCCCTCCGCGCGGGCGCCCGCCCACTCCGCGCGCTGCGGCTGCGCCTGGGCGGGGCCAGAAGCCTGCAGCAAAACAAGAAACCACGGCATGAGCAGAAACTTCCGGAGCTCCAGGCTGCAGGAGGACTTCGTTAGATCGGCGCACGGCGTGCGCCGATTGAGGACAAGCAAACTCTGACAGCGAACGAACCAGATAATGCGGAGGAACTCTGACGCGAGTGGTGCGGGTGGGGCACCAGATTCACCGGATGAAGGACAAACTATATAAACATAGACAGTCGAGGGTCCGCGCGGATTTCTTGGATCGGCGCCGGCCCCCTTCTTGCGGCGCTTCCCGCCCCGCCCCTGGCGCGCTCCGCGCGCCACGGAAGGTGCCCAGAGCCGGTGCAGGAAATCCTCGCTGAGCTGTAAAAGTTCATACGACTTTAAATAAATAACGCGTTTTCTCTTTTCGCTCCTCCACTCTTCCAGGACAGGCGCCTCCCTCCAACGCGGGCGCTCGACCTCCCAAATTGAAGCGGAGGCTCTAGATGCTCTGGACAATGACAGGAAACGGCATGAGCACATCGACTTTCGGAGGCCCGCGCGGATTTCGCACAGGTCCGTGCTGGACTGACCGCCTTGTCCCCGGCACCCGTGCGGGCGCCTCATGCGCCGGCCCCGCTCACGCGCGCGCCCGCAGCGCGAGGTGCGCTCGGCGCCGAACCTGCGGAGGCGCACGCCGAAACCCTCCTCGCAGGCGTCGGCGGCGCAGGCGACGCCGTTCACCTCAGCTCCCAGGAGGCCGCGAACGTCACAAGCAGCCCGAGGAAGCAGGTGAGCGGATCACCTGCGGATGACGCCCGCGAACGTGCAGTGCCCTGCCGCGATCTCCAACGCCTGGCCGCTCACGCGACGTCGCCGCAGCAGCCCGCGCAGCGCCTGCCGCAGCCGCCAGAAACGCCAACAGCTAAGCCGCGCGCGCCGCCTGCCAGCGTCCAGCGTGACCCCATGGCGCCTCGACCTCGCCCTCCGAGACCTCCAGCCCGTGCGTCTTGAGCCCCCCCTTCTCGAAGCTCGCGACCAGCTGCTCCATAGCGGCCTCCGCGACCTGGCGGCTGCGCCCAAACGCGCCCACGTTGTCCACGTACACGCAGTGGCGCGCCTGCTCGCCGTCCTTCAGGCAGCGCAGCAACAGCGGTCGCCCGCGGTCGACGACGAGCTCGCATCGGTCGATCACCGACGCCGCGGCCTCCTCGTCGACGCCATGGGCGTAGAACAGCGACCGGGTGAAGCCCACGGGCGGGGCGGTCTCGAGAGGCGCGGCCTCGTCGGAAGGGAGGGGCCTCGTCCCCCCGAGCTCTCGGAGGCAACCTCACTCGCCAGCGCCGAAGGGAACGCGAAGAACTCGCGCGTGTGATCAGGCATCTTCATGCGATGGAAAGCGTCGGCCACGCCCACTGCGCCGACAGCACAAATGCGCGGCGTCGGGGTCGTCGTCCTCGCCCTCGACGCTACCGAAGCTGAGGAATACGGAAACGGGCGTTGGTCCTTCGAGCATCCAGGATCGTTCTCAACCGCCCCGACTTCTTCTCCTTCACGACAAACTGGCTAACCCGCTCGCGACAAGACAACGCATACTGGACAAGACCTCGCACATGTAGATCCTTGAAGAACTGCACACACTTCCTGCGGTTCCGCGTTAACGCAGGGCCCACGTAACACGGAATCCGCCGACCCCTTGGGGTCACGGCGTGCGAGATGCTTCCCCTCCCAAGCCCCTCCCCTGGGGGCCCGGCCTGGCCGGTTTGGAGGCCGGAGGGGTGGGGTGGAGTGGGGTGGGGGGCAAATGTGCCGGTCGCGCACAAGGTTCAAAAGGGTCCCAGAACGGTCCAAGAGAGCTACGAGTCAACGAAAGATCGTTCCAGAACGCCGATGATTGCCTCCAGACGGCCCCATCAGTCCACAAGACTTTTGAAAAAGTGCTATGAGGCGCCCTGCGAAGGCCCTCCAGAAGCACAAATCGTTCTATTCCTTTCTGGGAAGACGTGCATTTTCAGCACATTCGCCTTTTGGGCTTCCAAGCGGCCGACAAATGCCCAAAAAGCCTCCGACATCGACCCTCCGCAGCGTAAGAGGCTCGCAGAAAGACTCCACGACGGCTTCCAGGCGATCCACGAAGGCTCCAGAAACCATAATTAACCACGGCCCGGGAGAGCCGCAGGACGGTCCCACGACGGCTCCAAAACGGGTCAACAAGGTTCCCAAAGGTTCCTCAGACGGCCCACGCGGGGGACGATCCGGTCCAAACCGCCCAAGATTGCCTCCAGACGGCCCCATAAGCCCCCAAGACGTTTGAAAACACGTCCACGAGGCGCTCCAGGAGGGCCTCCAGAAGCAAAAACCGTCCCATCCCCTAAAGGAAACATGCATTTTCGGTACATTCGCCTCTTGGGCTTCCACGAGGCCTACAACGGCCCAGTAAACCTCCAAATTCGACCCCCGACACTCCAAAAAACTTTCAAAAAGGCTCCACGACGGTTTCCGGGTGCACCAAGAAGGCCTCAGAAACCATAGCAACGGCCCAGGACAGTCGCAGGACGGTCTCACGAGAGCCCCACAACGGGCCAAGAGGGTCCCCAAAGGCTCCTCAGACGGCCCACGCGGGGGACGATTCGGTCCAAACCGCCCCAGCTTGCCTGCAGACGATTCCCCATAGGCCACCGAGACGTTTCGCTCCACGAAGGCCCCCACAAGCAAAAATCGTCCCATTCCTGGTGGAAAACATACATTTTTAGCACATTCGCCTCTTGGGCTCCCACGAGACCTACAACGGCCGTGGAAGCATCCAACTTCGACCCCCTGCAGACCCAGAGGCTTTCAAGAGGGTTCCAAGACGGCCTCCGGGCGCCCCACGAAGGCCCCAGAACCATAGCAACGGCGGAGAGCCGCAGGACGGTCCCAAGATGGCCCCAAAACGAACCAGGAGGGGTCTTAAAAGGCCGCCTGGTCGGCCCAAGTCGTTCAACAGTGCACCAAGTCGTCCAACATGGCCTCCCGACAGCCCTACAGGCCCCCAAGACGCCACAAGACGCTACACCGAGGCGTCCCAAAAAGCTTCCAGAAGCAACAACTGTCCCATTCTCGATGGAAAGCACATATTTCCAACACGTTCGCCTCCTGGCCTTTCACGCGGCCCCTGTGACCCCCTGCATGCCCCAACACGCCACCAGGACGCGGCCCAAGAGGCCCTCCAGAAGCAAACATCGGTCCGTTCCCTAGAGAAACGTCCAAGTTTAGCACATTCACTTCTTGGCCTTTCACGAGGCCCACAGCAACCCAAGAAGCCCCCAAATCAATTCAAGGAAACCCCATATGCCCCCAAGAGTCTCCCAGACGGCCCAAAAAGTCGCCAAGAGGGCCCCCGCAGCCACCGAGGAGGGCCCCAGGACGGCCTCAAAGGGCTCCCCCGAAGGCCCCAAAGGGCTCCGATTCGTCAAGAGA